CAGCAAGAAAAACTATCCGAAATGATTATGATAACGCGCGCGCGCGCACACACACACACAGATACGTATTTGCGTGTGTGAGCGAGTGAGTGTGTATATACATAATGTATTGCAATGGTTCAGCGGTTAGAGCACAGGACTCCGACCCATTAAAACCCCACCGCGGAAGTTGCAAAATGCCTGTGCTGCGTTTGATGACTCGAGCCCGATCTCACGGCGGGAAAACGCTTTGGGTGATCAAACGCAAGTGTCGTAGTGTGAAGTCGAAATCATGGCACGACCCGTAGTTGATTAGGAAGGGCATCCAGTCAGCCGAATAGCCTCCGAATAATGAACTGAGAGAGGAATAAGTCCTACAGTGGAATGTATTGATGTTGAATAATAATGATATATTTAGACATATACATACATATATGATATATACATATGTGTATGTATATATGTACATACATATATATGCGTCTGTGATGTGTGTGTGTATGCATACATATCTCGTATATATATGCATGTGTAACATGTGCATGTCTATGTCAGGGTGTATATTGTCATCAAACCGTTGAGCAGAAGCAAAACTCAGCTTACCGATAAGATACGTTGATCAACACCCTTCTTGAACTTTCCCTTGGCTCCTTTTATCAATGCGCTTCTGATACCAGTCAGCTTATTCCTGAATTCGGAAACGTTATGCTTCTTGAGGTCCCAGCGGGCGCCCCACAGCCCCCCCATTACAGGAATTCCATGGTACGGATGGTCTCTCAGCAAGTGGAAGCTTTTGTTTCCCGACATCCATTCCCTCACTGCTGCAGCCCCTCGTTCCAGGAGCTTTGGTAAAGAACGTTGGGGAATTATTACATAAAATAACACAAATACAAAAAGGGAAACAAATATGGTAGCCTACACAGTTAATGTTGCTTGAGGGATAGCAAAAAAAAAAAAAACTTCATCTGGTTAAACATACTATAAATATTACTAAAAAGGAAGAAAGAAAAAAATATGGTTACACCCACTGTTAATACTGCCAAAAGAAACATGCTCATGTTTACACAAAAACACTATATAGATATAGCTGAAAGGTATATGGTTACACACAAATTCAAAGAAACATATCCATGCCTACAAACACAGTTAATGTTTCTCAAAATAATTAGTTACACACAAAGAGACACAGTTAATATGGCACTATTCACTTTTTAAGTTTCTAATGAATTTATGACGATCAGTATCAAGCATACCTGCTTAGCTGAACAGGTATCCTATCAGCTTCTGATTAAAGTAACAATTCAGCTATCTATCAACCAAAGTGAGTACAAACACGAACCGGTTTCGAACTTACAAGCGAGTCGGAGTCTCGGACAAAAAAAGCCGAGACCCTTTCGTCACCAAGGGGCAGCGTTCTCCAAATCATGTTGTGTATTTTAGTCACATCTCCCAGCGAAGGCAAGTTGGTGACGTCACAGATGTAGAAATGAGGAAAATCACGCAGGAGTGGACAGAGGACATTTTCCCGGCCACGAGGATTGGTGAAGAGCCACACGACCCATCCAGGGTATATGGCTCTTGTCTGAGAAAGTTTAAAGTAGTTCTAGTGCGTCTTATTACAGGAAAGGGAAAAATGACAACTCAATCCAGGCTCTGGATCACTTCGATTCGATTTCTGTCTCTCTCTCTCTCTCTTTTTCCATTTTTTTTTTAAACCTATGTCTATGTCTGGAATTACATAAAATAATTTCATTGCTTTACATGTCTTTTTTTCCCATGAAATAGGGTCAACGGACTACAATAATGTTTTTTATATAACTGGAAACACATTTTCCAGATATGAATTTGGCCTTTCTTCTCAATTAAACGGGTCATTGTTTTTTTTTTCTTGACATACGAAGGCAGTCTCACCACTCACAATATGAAGTGTGATCGGTCGCCATCATGGGGAGAGTGGCATTTTTGCAGCCAGTCTTTGCACAGAACCACTGTCATTAGCGGCCACGTTAAGTAAAACCTATGCAATATCCGAGTTTGATATTTTTTATGAAAAATGGAAGAGCATTCTAATAATTATTTATTCATTCATTTTTTAGGAAGAGGGAGGATTATGTTTAAAAAAAAAAAATCTTAATACATTCAGGAAATGAACTTGATTCAAATGATAGTATTCATTTTTTGAAAGCTTAAAATCTAACAAGTCCGTTGAATAAAATGTAAAAATGTGTACTTTGCAATAATCTTACATTCCGTGTAGTTGGCCCCATAATGGATTTCATAATAACACATACTCTCTCATGCACAAAAAAAATACTCAAAATTCACTTTAATAAGCTTTTGCTAAATCTCCAAAAATGGATTTACTAAGAAGTTTTAAACATTTTAGAACTTCAGAGATTTTAGTTTTGGCATTTCTTACCTTGTGGCAAAAGAACCTTTCTATTCTGCACGCATATGTATGTATCTGTATACGCACATCTCGGCTTAACTTGACCAGAATGTATGGAAGCTGAGCGTTGGA